CGCGCGATCCATTGGACGTTAATAGGCGTATACGATTTATAATGCGCATTGTGTGCGTAATTAGAGGAAGAACGGGGCAGGAAGAAATGGATAACCAATGCACACGTGAAAGGAAATGCTCGTTTCTCGTCACGACAGCTCAATAGCAACAGCTTGTAACTGTGCACCGGTTAATTACACTGTTTCGAACATCAGTCGTACGACAAGCTGTTAGATCCTTCCGAATTCTTACTCGAAACTACTGTCTAAAATAATATAATTTCGATTAATTATCGTTTTAATAATAAATTATTCCCTTCTTTCGATAGTTGAATAAACGATATTAATAAAATGAAACCTATGCTTTTCAAGAATGCATCACAGCCGTATCCAACTTCCTACGCTATCATTAATATTCATGATCGGCTGTCAGGCCAAGAAAGAAAAGGATTTACTATCCGTAACTGTCCATGAAGTGCGTCAACATATGCGTGGCCCTTCGAGTTTCGAGATCGGACAATAATACCCGCGACAGCCGAGGATTCAAGCGTCGAATTTGCATCTGCCACTGTCTTCCATTGTCTCGGCTAATTTTCGCGAACCCTTCTTTACTTGTCAGTCTCTTCAACTCGTATTTCCCCGTTCCTCGAATTAGCCATTCCCATACAGACGGCTGAGCCACGTGAAGTGTACGCGACCCCACTCGAAATACCCTGTTTGGTCTCGCGTTTGCTATTCGAGAACTCACTTCGCATAGGGGTGTCTCGATTTTCTCCAATTCATCGAGCGTGTTGTGTTTCACGATGGAAATTGAAGTAACGTTACAGGATATGAGTAAATGGGCATACACGTGTGTTGCGTATGTATACATCCATACTTTATACATCAGTATAGCGGTGTGAGATATTCAACAAAAAAAAAAAAAAATGCGTGAAATAAAATGAAAAAATAATGAATCTAAAAATAATTAGAGATTATTAAAAGATGTTTTACTTACATTTCGTATTTACTTTGTAGCAGATCACCGATTGGACCGAGTAGAGAGTTACATAAATCCAAATTCCACATTGTCCTAAAACAGAAAGTGAAATAAAGTATGAAAGAAAATTGTAAGAAAGATATACGATTTCTAATTGTTTATTGTATATCGTGATATTTACGGTTTCAACGTCAGTATTCCCAATAGATCCACGATAACTGAAAGATCGTTCATTGCCACAGCAGATTCCACAGCAGCCTGAAAAATAGAATAATTTATTAATCTTGCCATAGTCGTTAGTTAACGATATACATTGGATGGTATATAATTACCTTAAGATCTTTATTATGCCACAGAGAATAAATAATTTGCAATGATCGATGACGACTCGTAAGTACCGCCATCATAGATTCATGACCACGCATCATGCTGTTGAGTACTTCAGCTTCCGACATCTCGTTCAGAACTCCCATTTGAGAAAAACCTAACCCAGTTGGATTTGCATAGTGGTTCTGTTAAAGAACACGATCATTGTATCACAAGATAATTCAACTTTTTGATTTTAATTTTCTAGATAATGCAAACTCACTGGTAAAAAAGTTTCAACATCCAAACCGTAAGGTTTATCGGCACTTATGGGAACGAATTCTCCTTTGTCCGCGTTCTCAATACTCGGCCTTATTTGAGAAGCGCGAATCTCTAGCTTAAGATTTGGAGCTACTTGAGCTTTATTTGATTTCTTTGTGGCGAATGTCGTGGCTGTGGAAGCGTTGCGCGCGGACAGCGACACTGAGGTAGCGAAATTCCTGTTCAGCGAAGTGGACCTAGATTGCGCAGTATTCGGCCTGTTTAACGCAGGATCGGAGGGACTGTGCCTTATACTATTAATTCTACAAGAACGTTAAACGTTTTGTTTTCAATAATTGTTATTGTTACGTAATATTCTAATTATACAACGTCATATTTATACTTACTGTACCGGGTAATCGCTTTCGTAACCCTGTTCTCCATCTCTACAGCTATTTTGTCTTTTTAAATAATGCTTAGGAGAATCTGGGCTAGGTGCTCTATTCTTTAGTTTTCCATCATCCATTACTGGAAGAACGGCAGCCATTGGTGCTACACGAGGTGTTAACGTAGAGTTTGATCTTTGAGGGCCTAGAGGTTGTGGAAGTGTTGTTATATCACTATTAGGACAGCTTTTTTTTCCAGGAAGAGGTGTAATGTTCTGTCTTAAAGGTGGTATAGATGCCAAATTTTTCGAAGTTCTACCAAGGCCGTTATTTGCTTGAAGATTCGCTTTTATTTGGCTAGTAGTCGTAATCGAATTTCTTTGAAGAGGAGGCGATGTTTTAATTGGTTGAACACGAACTGGTACAGGCTTTGTTAACGATAACGTTGATGCGGATGGAGGCGAAGATGACGGTGATGAAATTGGCGGAACTTCTTCTGAATCCACTATATTTAAGCTTGACATTGAGGTAGAAAAATTTTGCAATATTTGTGGTTGTGTAGGATCTATAAAAAGAAAATATATGGAATAATATAAAATTGAATATTTTGTACACAATACATATAAATTTTATATTAATAATTCATGCAATATTGGTGTAAAAGAAAAAGATAGATACAGAAAATTTTTGTTTTAAGAATATAGAACTCACCTACATCTTGAGGCTCCTCGAAAGCCTCAGGTTCTGGAGGTGGAGTGCGAGACACTGAAACATATCGTGCATAGCATGCTCATTCACAAACCATACAGCATAACATCCAAATTGTAGATGCATTTGTATTTTCAGACATGTGATTGTAGGTGAGTAGTTAAGAGTTAGCAAGAACAGGAATTGAATATGTTATGATACATACATACATCTTGCAATAAAAAAGAAAGAAATTATATAATTATACTCACATGATCTATTGGGCTGAAAAATGTCATGATATTCAGTAACATTAGGAATATCTGCATATGTTGATTCATCCTCTGGATCAGTTCCAGATTTATCTGCTTCTTCTATAGTTCGTACATCTAATCTATAAACAAAATATCATGTAGAAAAAAATAATATAAAATATAAAACATTGTATGAAATATAATGTATGAATATAAAAATTATTTACGAAACTTACGTATGTTTTTTTAATCCAGATGGTCTTTCTCTAGAAAAACTTTTCCTTAACGAATTTCCATGACTAAATGGAGAACCAGATGTCGAAACTCCTCCTAATGGAGCAATTTTCTTTAAATCACACACGTACAAAACAATATTTGCAGTGTGATAACTTGCACCAATCTAAATAATTAATAAAAATAAATTCTGTATTATTATTTATCATTATATATATTTGATTACATGTATATTATATATATTAAATTTATTAACAATAATCTTACCAATTGATTCTGAGCTATAGCTATATCCTGTACTTTTCCCCAACCAGTTGGGATGGAATCTAATGTTCTACCTGGTTCCCAACCATAAACTTTTAACACATCATGGCAACCAGCAAAAAGACATTCTCCACCTTGACTGAAATAGAGACATCTAACAAAAAAAAAAATATTAATAAACAATGGAAAAATTTTAATAATAATGAATATTCTATAATATTTATGATTACTCACCTAATTGCAGAGGAATGACTTTGGTCTGTAGAAGATACAAGTTGAAAAGATTCCAAATCCCAAAAATGTACTGTTTTATCTGCACTTCCACTGGCTAGTAAAAATTCATGAGGATGAAATTCTACTGTTGTTGCTGGACCTCTGTGTTCAGAAAACTCTCTTAACTGTCTACCAGCTCTTAAATCCCACAACTAATTAAAAAAAAATCAATTAATTATATTAATCAAAATAAAAATGAAATTTGTAAAATAAATTTTACCTTAACCATTCCTTCCTCTCCTGCACTAGCTATCCACTGACCATCAGGACTAAATTTTAAACTATTTACCATCCTATTGTGTCCTTTATAAGTAAAGATACAACCTTTTCTCCTTATGTCCCAAAGTTTAATAGCAGTATCTAAACTTCCTGATGCCAATAATTCTCCATAAGGATGAAAATCCATACAACGTATACCTGCTTTATGTCCTGTTAATGTACGAGCTAATTTAGCATGTTCTAAATCCCAAATTTTTAGTGCTCCTGTTTGCGAGCCAGCGCATACTAAATCTTCTGTCTGTCCAAATCTTACACATTCAATAGGAGTGGTATGACCACTCAGGCTCTGAAAATCAAGAAAACAAAATTATACAAATATAGAAATAATAAATTAAATATTAAATTGATGTAAAATAAAATTTTATTAATGTTTCAATTCACTTTTTAAGTAAATAAATATAGAAAAAGATAAAATTATACCATAATACAATTCTGCTTTCCAACTGCCCATAAATTTACTTTCTTATCATCACCGCCAGTGACCAAAACGCGTCCAGATTTGTGACCTAATGCCAAGCAATTGACATTGGATGAATGGGCAACAAAATCCTCTGTACAGAGAAAAACATTCCTTTAAACTGTTCTTTAAAGTGCTCTGAACAAAATGTCAGTTTTCAACGACATATCATAAAGATAATATATTTTCGATTTAAAAAAGGTTATGACCATAATAAGAAAATGCAGCGGACAATTAATAGTTGGATCTCAACAATAAACTTGTAAACATGAATTGTTTACTTATCTCTTAAAGAAGAGAGACCGCCAGAACAAAATCCGTTGAACGCACATCGAACATTGATGTATTAAATAAAGACTACATGAATACGAATGGGATAATCACTTACGGAGTTTCCATGACCTCTTCGTGGACGAAGCCATATTCCGGGACCACAGGATTGCGTTGTGCACGACTTATTTGGCAACGACAACAATTTGAGATTTCAGCTTGCAGATGCACAATTTTTTTTTGCTCGAATTCGTAGGTAACATTTTTACTTTGTGTTATTATTCAGTGCATGGACGATCGTTCAACGGGGCCACAGCATCTCGCCGCGTTGTGGTCCTGAAGGCAATCCTTTCCTTGAAACTTCTGTCCGTTTTCACAAACCGTTCGTTCCACCTCTTCGTCGTATCTCATTTCTTGAATCTGCCTGTCCGTGGGTAGCGCGAACTAACGTGACGTTGAAAAATATCGAAGTTCTGTTTCTATCGAGATTACGTTTCAATCGATCGCACCAGATGTCACCAGTTCTCTGATTAATTGAATTTCAACCTTAGTAAATGTCAAACTAACGTAAGGGGAGGATGATGATTGAATTAAAAAAAAAACGCGATAAAATATTATCGAAACTTGCATATTTATAATTACAATATGTCGTATTGTTATGTGAATTATATTATATGAATTACGTTACATGTGATATAATATTTCATAGTGTTATAAATATTCAAAGTGAGGTTAATTTTCAAATTAATTCTAATTTTTAACATACATAAGAAATAAAATGTTTGTCTTTAATCGATTATGTATGTTTGCAATCAGAAATAAAAAATCATTTTGCTCACAAATATTTAAAAGATATTGTGTAAAATATGTGCAAGGACAGTCTCCAGAACCTCGTGTTCGTGAATATTTTTATTATATCGATCATCAAGGCATGGTATAATTTGCTTTTTAATTAAATTTATAATCTTCAAAAGTATAATATTTTTAGAATCATATTAATCTTTCTTACATTGTTGTTTTTAGTTATTCCTAGATGATTCACGTATGAAAAACTTCACATCATGTTTTAAAGGTGTGCATAAAGAAAGAAATAATTTATTATATATTACAATTCATATATCATGGGAGCTATATCATTTTAGATAAAAAGTTTTTGGCATTTTTTTTTAAACATTTAAAACAAAATGACACTGGCAGATATATGAAAGATTTTCCTTATATTTCTCTTTGTGGTCCAGAGAGAAATTTTGTCAGATGTGATGATTTGCCAATAGTTTTTACAAAAATTTTTCAAAAAGAAAATAATGAAACAGGCAAAAATGAAGATTGGTTTGGTTATGCTCATGCAGAAGAATTATTAATGGTACATTTCATTTTTATAATTAAATAAGTATAAATTTGATATTGATGTTTAAATTTCAATAATAAATTCATTATAATTCATAGGTACCATTTCAACCAAAAAAATTATATATGAATCAATCAGGAAGAATATATCATCCTGCACCAAAAAAAGCAGGAGGAATTGGTCTGATAAGATCAAAAATTGCAATTGAGCTTAGTTCATCATTTAACTTTGAAGAAGGAGAGGAAAAGGGCCCAACTCATTTTTTTTGGAAAGATAAAATGTATACTTTAGATTGTAACTGGTTTAAGGATAAAATATTGCTAGCTATCAGATAAAAATAAATAAATTTTATTTTTAATTCAAAAAGAAAACAAAGCACAATATATGAACAACTTTCATAAAATGTATATATATATATATATATATATATTTTTAGATAATAACAAAGATTCTATAATTTTTTCTATCTAAAAATTTTATTAAGATAAAGATGAAATGTCAAAAATTCTAGCTGTAAAATCATCAGATGTTGTCAATGCTTTTTCTCCATTTCTGAAAAAATGTTATTATTATGTATTTTTTTAATTAAAATATTATTATAAAAAAAAAAATAGAATTCATTTAACTTACTCAGATATATATAGGTCAAGAATATCTGCTGTATGTGCTACAAATGAACGTAAACATTGACCATTTTTTCCATCAAAACACCTCAAAATACCATCTAATCCTGCAGAAAATAATACAGTCGTATTTCCCTTCCATACAAGTTTAGATATACCACTTTCTTGTGTTATTTTTTGTCTAAGCATCTAAATAATAAATAATAGAAATTATTGTAATTTTACTTAAATTTTATTTCAAAAAGAAAAGTAAAACTACCTGTTTTGAAATATCCCAGATAAAAATTTCTCCATTCACTGTACCAGTTGCAACAACTTGAAATGTTGGATCTTTACAAAAAACTGCTGTCTCTACCCAATTATTTATCTCTTTATTTTCTTCATTATTTCCAGCATCTTGATCATTAATTACATTATTCTTCTCATTATTATTAAGATTTTGCAAAATAGAAACTATCTAAAATTGTTAAATGATTTTACTTTAATTTTTGTTTGTTGTTGTATAAAAATTATTAATTTTATTACCTTTCCAGTATTTGAAGTACTGATTATTGTTTTTCCATCTACAGCTGCAGAAAGTATTAAATTGTTATCAGAATGACAATCGATAGTAGTTATAGTATGAGAATGACCATATGTAGAAGATATGAATGATAATACAGAATTAGTTTTTAAATCTAATATCCTAACAACTCCATCTTCATAACCTATTGCTATACGTTTGCCTAAAATATTAAATATAATTATAATACAATGTTTTTATTTACAATATAAGAAATATAAAGAAATGAATACCATCTGGAAATATTGC